TTCCAAAAAACTCTTTGGGGCGCCTGGGTGGCTCAATCAGTTAAGCGTCCGACTTCGGCTCAGGTCATGATCTCATGGTTCGGCTCAGGTCATGATCTCATGGTTCGTGGGAGCCAGCTCAGAGCCTGGAGCCTGCTTCGGATTCTCTCTCCCTCTCTCTCTGACCCTCCCCTGCTCATGCTGCCTCTCTCTCTCTCTCTCTCTCTCTCTCTCAGAAATAAATAAACATTAAAAAAAAAGATCTCTTTGATTACAAAATTATATATACACTTTGGGAAATAACCTGTATTTTGTCCTTTACTATTTCAATTATGCTTCTGTAACCTGCAAATTAAGCAGACTGCAGGGACTGGTCCTCACTGGTGATTCCCCTTCCATGTTGAGACTATTTAAATAACTTAGTAATATTTCTTCTTGAAGCCATGTAGACATATGTATTTGACACTTTTTTCCCAAAGAAATTTCTCCTGAATTGCCAATATTCCCTCTTTCAATTTTGATTATTTAAATTGGGGAGAGACACCCAGAGAGAAGAGGAGGGGAGGAAAAAGAGAGGAGGTGGAAGAGAAGAGGGGAAAGAAAAGGAGACAGAGAAGAGGGCATTAGAGCAAAGAAGAAAGAACCAGAAGAAAAAAGAAGAGTCACAGTCGGCTGCTGTGCTACTTCAGCCCTCAGGAGAAAGAGAGGCCGGGAGACCAGGAAAGGAAATAGAGGGTGTAAATGCCACTTTAGGGAATAACCCATTAGAAAGAGATTTCCTTTCTCTTCTGCAGTTGCTTGCAGGGTTCTCTATCCTCACTGAGACAGCACCGCCAAAGTCTCCAGCTGATCATGAGCTTATTTCTAACAGAAGGGCCTTTCAGGGCAAATGGGGGAGCAGCATGGGTCAGGATAATAAGTAGTTAATAAGGGGCGCCTGGGTGGCTTAGTCGGTTAAGCGTCCGACTTTCGCTTAGGTCATGATCTCGCGGTTCGTGGGTTCGAGCCCAGCGTCGGGCTCTGTGCTGACTGCCAGCTCAGAGCCTGGAGCCTGTTTCAGTCTGTGACTCCCTCTCTCTCTGACCCTCCCCTGCTCACGCTGTCTCTCTCTCTCTCCTAGAAATAAATAAAACATTTAAAAAAAAAAAAGTAGTTAATAAATCACAAGCGGCTGGGCACTAATGTTACCACAGAGCATGTCTGGAGCCTCCAGAGGCCCAATATAGGCACTTGTAATTTGGCAAAGATTGAAACTGAAAACTGCTGAGACTGCTGGGGCCAGCGAGGTTCAGGCAGGGATGCCTTCTCCGGGGCTTTATTCCAAGTTCTGAATTCCATCTTGGGCACCCCTCTACAGCCTGGATTCAAACAAGTCGTCGGAAAAGTTCGTCCAGCACACATTTTGGTCCGTGATAAACGATAAGCAGTTACCTGCTGATCTTTTTCACTATAAGAGGAGAAGAATCCAGGACATCCTTTCTCATGAGAGAAAGAGCTGGCAACCTTTCCTCCTTAGGAGCAAGCAAGCAAAACTACTGCGAAGGCTCTGGCATCGCTTGTACACTCTGGTCTAGTTCTCTAAGTAAAAAACAGACGTTGCTGCCTCTCCCCAGAGTTACTGGACTGCTCATAATTCTACTCCTATTTGAAGGCCCTGTTCTAAGCTACCTCTTCCAGGAAGGTTTCCTAGAGCTTTCTAATCAGGGTCCCGCACTTCTACAGCAAGTATGTGACTCACACATAGTCTTTATGTTCTACTCTCCAGGGAAAAAACTAGTTATTGGCAGTCTTCTTATCCATACTAGAGTCCTAGGCTCCTGCTGGGAGACGGGCTGTATTTTGATTCCCTTGAAATCCCCTTGAAACCCTGGAGAAAAGGGCATTCAACTGCCAGTTTTTGAGGAGCTAAATTTGGAGTTAGCACAAGGAGAGGACAAATCTTTTAGTTTCAAGTACATACAGCAGCCCTTATTAAGTTCCTTTTGCTATCACTTTGTAAATGAGCTGCAGCACCAAACAGTGTCCAGAAGGTATTTAAGAAAAGTGGCTTTCTACAGAAAAATGTAAGGAGTCCAAACAGAATAAGAGAACATCTGTTGGTCTTACAAACATTCCCATGTGATACATCCCCCGTCACACACCCCGCCAAGATGAAGACTGTGAGCCTGGAAAGATCGGCTTCTCCTCTACCACTCTATCTATACTCGGCTGACAGACAGCAACTGAACATCATCACATGCCAAGAAGTGTCAGAAGGAATGGATTATTAAGAGTTGAGCCCTACCACCTTCCCATTAGATTGGGTAACATGTTTTCGAGCTTTCTGAATCTATATCACCATCCTGAGAAACATTAAAATATCACACCCTTCTATTTGGTTTGTTAGTAACCCAACATAAAATTTTAAGACTCTGTTCCTTTCCACATGAAACTAAATATAGATTCTGATAGATAGTGCATCAAATTCCTCGAACCAGAACCTCAACTACATATCCCTTCATTTGGTTCCACTGCTTTATGGTTTTAAATAATGCTAGGGTACCCAGGAAATACACATTACATCAATACCGGGGTTTTGCACTTCCTTCCAGGAAAGCTATCTAAAATCTCAATTCAATCAAAAAATCTTAAAGTCAACCCCACGGCTAGAATAACAAGGTATTCCATTTGCAACTACATGGATGGAACTAGAGGGTATTATGCTAAGCGAAATTAGTCAGAGAAAGACAAGTATTATATGACTTCACTCATATGAGGAATTGAAGATGCAAAACAGATGAACGTAAGGGAAAGGAAGCAAAAATAATACAGAAACAAGGAGGAGGACAAAACATAAGAGACTCTTAAACACAGAGAACAAACTGAAGGTTGCCGGAGGGGTTGTAGGTGGGGGATGGGCTAAATGGGCAAGGGGCAGTAAGGAGGGCAATTGTTGGGATGACCACTCGGTGTTATACACAGGGGATGAATCACTGGAATCTACTCCCGAAATCATTATTGCACTATATGCTAACTAACTTGGATGTAAATTAAAAATAAACAAAAAGAATGACAAGGTATAAAAGCACTCTAGAGAAATACTTAAGGAAACAAAATGAAAAGCAAGGCCCAGAAATTGCCAGCAGATGACGTGGCCTTGTATGGCCCCAAACATAATATCCCATAATTTCTCCCCACTGGAAACACCTTCCTGAAAACTGGGGTTCCTGACTAAGCTAGAATTGAATAAAGAACAAACCTACAAATTTAGGAGAAAGAGACCTACAAAGGTTAAACCCCAAGAAAAGAGAGTCTTTCTCCTCTCCCATAAAATATGCTTCCCTGCCCTCTTCACCCCCCACAAAAATAACTGAAATTTTAAAAATAAAGTTTTGATCAGAGAAAGAACACAAAACTGCTTAGACGTCTCAAGATGCAAAGAACCTTTTGGAACCGATCCATGTTAAGGACTTCCACTCTGCCTTCTAACAGAATCTGTGCAATGAAAGTCCAAGCTCCGTCTCAGAAGGAAAAACCTGTTAACTATATGAGCACTTCAATTTGTCTTAATTTTGTCATTTATCCTGCCATTGTTTTTCATAGTTCATCCGTGTAATGGAGCCAATGTTACTCAGCAGCCACCAGAACATTTCATCCCACTGCAGCCAGATGACAAGAGCATCAGCAGCAGGGAAGAGATGCAGCAGAGGTGAGCAGCGAAAGAAAGCCTGTGATGGCCAAGGCCACAGGACAAAAGTGACAAGCAGAGACAATCTCATTACCTGTTGTCCAAATCTCTCCTCCAGAGTAGGTCAGAGTAATCTTTTTCTCGACCACTGGTCAAAGCAGGACACACGTTTTTCAAAGACACCATACACTTGGCTTTGAAATGTCCCCGGCTAAATCCAAAACCCGGTGTGTGTGAAGGCCCTGTGGGTGCCTGCCCATTACATCATCATATCAGGTCGGGCTGGCCCTAAAGCTATTAGCAGGAGGGAGGTATGGGATTTCAGAATACCAAGGAAACTTTTATTTTTTACATATGGGCATAAAAAATATGGAGGCAGGAACGTGGGAGGCAGGAATCTGTGACATCTGAAGCAAGCTGACTGAAGCAGTGTGACGCTTTCTTGCACCAGAGCTAGGTAACAAAAGTTATGCTTGCCCACTTCCCAGCAACTCTGTATGTGGCTGCAGGGGGGGACACACCCACTGCCAACCTACAAGCCTCCGTCTAACTGTGATCTTCCCCATCCTTCGGCGTCCACCCTAAACCCAAAGCTCTGGGAAGACCCTGGCAGCCCAGCTCATTCCTCGTCCGCTCCAGATGCGCCTCCCTGCCCCCCAGTCCCCTCCTGGCGATCACAGCCACGTCCCCGGCACCTTCAGCACCTGGCTGACTGTGTCATTTAGAACCCTAGCCCTCAACGCCCTTTCGCCTTCTCCCCTCCTCGACATTCTGGCACCTTGTGAGACCTACCGCAGTCGGCCCCAGGCCCCTGCCAGGGGAGGCCCCGCACGGCCCTGATCGCGGCGCCCCTTCCTCGGGCCGGGACAGGTCCACACCTCCCCCCACCCGGCCGAAGCAGGACCTCCTACGGGCCTAGTCAAGGACATCGCCTCGGCCCAGCCCTCACCCCGCCCGCCAGAAGCAAACCTAGCTCCCTTCCGCGCGGGGCACTCACCCAAACGTGACCTCCGGGTGGTGGCCGTGGAAAGGGAGCGAGCCACGAAAGGGCAGTACGCGGGGCCTCCCCTCCACCACCAGCTTTATAGCCACCGACCCACCCGACTCCGGCAAGGCCGGCAGTCGGTGGGAGGCTGGACAGTGGTTCCAGCAGCCAATCGTGGCCCGCAGAGTAGCCGGGCAGCGCCCGCCCCCCAGTCCGACTTCTACCAATCCGAAGAAAACTAGAGGCGGGATCTTGCTAGGGTTTTCCCTCGTGGCTGGAAGGGCGGGGGAAGGGGCGGGAACTAAGTTGGAGGCCGAGGAAGTGGGGTGAGAGAGTGACGTGGGGTGGCCCGAGAGCCGGCCTGCCAATTACAGAGCGGCGAGAGACAGCCAGAGCCAACAGGAACGGAGTGAGAGGTTCTCCGACCAATGGGAGTCTAGGGAGAGGAGACGGGAGCCAATGAGGTCTCCGCGTCCCACCACTGGGGCGAGATGGTCAAGTGTGGGAGGCAAGTTGGTCCCCACTTGGGACTCTGTCCGGTTGCCTAGCAACCGAGCCGGGCTTCTGTAAGATTTTTGAAATACCTTCTTTGAATTCAATCTTAACGTTTTCTAGTTTCCAGAGAAGCCAAGCGCGCCTACCTTACAAGTTGAAGCAGGATGTCACTCAGAATTTGTAAATGTGTAAATATTCTAAACACCCTATTTGTCAGTACTTAATACCTCTATTCAAAACTAACGTGACTAATTTTAAGAGACTGCTATTGGTACGATTCTTCCTAAGTAAACTGGAAACAAGACGGTTTGGGGTTAGAAACCAGTGAGGACGTAAGGGGCCTTGCCTGAGCAGGGAAATTGATCCCAATTGTAGGGGTTTGGGTAGCCCGCGCACTCTGAGGAAAGGGGCTCCAATCTGGCCTCACTGTATCTTCTGAGCTTGATATAGGGTAGGTGCCAAATAAAAGGTTGTTGAAAGAAGGAAGGGCCCCATAATTGCCTGTTTAGCGAATCCATGGGATATGAACTGTCTAGCTTCCCTAGAAAAGAATAAGGAGCAGGAGAGGCAGCCAGAGGAAATCACTGGGAACACCATTTGGGAGAATCCAAGGGAGGACAATTATGGCCTTAAATTAGACTCTGCCTCATCGCCTCCTTAGATTGAGAATTCATAAAACTTAGATTTGGCGGGGGACCCTGAGGGTCGTTCCTATCTCTCCCCCTCTGTTTCACTGAGACCCAGGAATGCTGCTAACAAGAGCCCATTGATGATTCTGTGCATCGCACAACTACTTTTATATGAGATTTATTATCTGCTATAGATATTAACCTAGGAAGAGACATTGTCACCAGCAAAGTGGCAAAATATACTGGCAATGGAACTATTGTGAAGTGGTGGCGTAAGTTACTCAGGGAAACAGGCCACTCAATGACTATCATCGCCCCATAGTATTGCCTGATTCATACACCCAAAAAGTAGATGTTAAAAGAGAGAAAAATTGCCTGGTTGTGATCAACAGCACTTTTGAGGGGGGAATTAAACATTCTTGGCATATTAGAATGCATTGAAAGACAGGAAGGACAACCAAAGGAAGAAGATACAGCTTTATCCTTAGAAAGGAGAGTAAATAGTTCCAACTCCAGGAGCTCACAGTAAGAAATGATTAGCAGATAACTGTGAGGATGATCATCTTGTACAATAGGAAATTCCCAAAAGGCACAGATTGTCTTTTTGATCGAGTTAATCTTCAATTAAGCAAAGTGAGCACAGTTATTGATACTGGGAAGCTAAGCAATAAGCAATAAAATGGGTTAATAATTAGATATAGAGCATCTTAATTGAATTTTTAAGAACAAGCCTCAGAGATTCTGTGAAATATAATAGATAATACGAAGCTACACAAATATCAGCTATGGCCCATGCAGTTGAGGACAAAATAGACATATATCTATTTTGGAAGGGGCTGCAAGTTTCTCTGCGGTACAATTTTATACAAGCATAGTCAAGTCAATGCCGTACTTGAATGTGCATTTTTAAGACATAGTAAGATCTATGTTTTCTTATAGTTTCTAAGTTGAATGCTAAGTCATATTGGTCATGCACTATAGATGCTACACATCAAAGTCAAAATATGGTTTATTGTTCTGCCCTGCTTTGAAAGGAACAAAAATTTATTAGAGGCAGGAACATCTAATGATAGCCTTTAGTATTATAAATTCATCCATTGGACAAACACTTTTTTGCTTGCTTTGTAGCAGGGATTGTGCCAGGCCTATGCTGTCCAATAAAGCAAGCATTAGCTGCATGTGGCTCTTGAGTACTTGAAAAGTGGCTAGCACAAAGTGAGATGAGATCAGTGTAAAATACAACCCCGATTTTAAAGACAGTACAAAAATAGGAACTAGCACCTTAATTATCTTTATATTGGTACATGTTACAATAATATTTTGATTCTATGGGGTTAAGTAATATATGTTATTAAAATTAATTTCACCTGTTTCTTTTTAGTTTTAGTGTAACTCCTGGAAAATGTAAAACTTTATCTGGGCTCCCACTTGTGCTAGACAGTAGGAAGACCCAACAAAAGACTCTTTCCTCAAAGAGTTCATAGTCTAACAAATGGAGAAAAGTAAATATGGCAAAAGGCTGGGTTTCCATCTCACTAGGTAAAGAGTAGGAGAGGGTGGGATAGGAGGAATTTTCAAATTTGCCAATTCCATCTCTTCAGGTTTAACAGCTTTATTTTGCCTAAATATTCCAAAGATTCAACGTTTAATTCCCTATTAGGGCTATTTCTCCACAAGCCCCTCGACTGGGCAAGATGGATTCTGGAGGAGCTCACTGGGTTGTTGTACATCGGAGGAGAGCAGGGTGCTCAGCCCTGCTCCTGGGCCCTCCTGCTGGCCTCCTGGTGCTCACAGGAACCCGGACTCGGCTCTGCAAAATCTTAAGGCTCATCATGGCTTTCACTGGATGCCTTACCAGCAGTCCACCCTCAGCAGCCCTACCGCAGACCTTGACTTGAGGCTCCCTCACCCCCTTTTGCAGCATGACCCCTCAACGTAGCCAGTTTCAGCTCTCTCCTGTGCTCTGTGTGACGTGAGGAGTTTCTGTAGTTCTTCCACACAACTCGGGACCTGTCCCTACCTGACAGCACAGTGACACTAGTTCACCTCCACTGCTGCATTCCAAAGTAGGCTGTGGTACCCAGGGATATAGTTTCCTTTCTCCAGAACCATCATCCACCCCCTCCTCAAAGATTTCTTAATGGGAACTTGATTGAAAACCCTACTGATTTAGCACGTTTACCCCAACAATCCGGTAGTGTTTCCAACAAGACTTCTCTTCAGGGGTTTATCTCTTGCACTTCCTCTTTCCCACTTCATCCCTGAAAGGGTTATTACTATGTGAGGATGCATGACAGATATTTCTTAAGTAGCACAATTAGTAATCACAACATAGTTCAAGTGCTATACAAAGAAGCATGCCCAAAGGATGCTAGAAGTTCAAAGGAGAAGCATCGAACTCCTCGTGGTGTCAAAGGAAGGTTTTCCAGAGCAAGTGATATTTGTTCATTTATCATGTTCAGAGGTCTTTACGGAGCACTACAGTGTGCCAGGCACTGTTCTAGGCTCAGAGGTTCATTGTGGCAAGGAAGACAGACACAATTTCTGTTTGTGTTTCCTTCAGTGAAGGAAAACTGAACATTATGTAGGAAAAACAATAAGTTGATGTCTCTTCAGGCAGTGAGAATACTGTGAAGAATAGAATGCGGTGTAGCAATGAGACAGAAAATGCCTGTGGGGTGGACACGTCCGTGAGGTGGATAGGAAAAACCTCTCTGAAATAATGCCACGTGAAGGTTGAGAAGGACCCAGTCTATGAAAATCTGGGGTCAGAGGGATGCCAAGTGGAGGGGCCAGCAGGGGCAAAGGCTTGCCTGGTGAAGAATAGAAAACAAAAGGCCCATGTGTCTGAGCTGAGTATGGAAGGAGTGACAGGAGATATCTGGGTCATGGACCTAGGTCATGAACAAGGGAGGGTGCGTCATTTCAGGGAAAGAGATCCATCAACTGTATAATGTGGGAACTGCAACTTCAATCAAGAATGATAGCGTAAGTTCAAGTGGTGGTGAGTTCCAGTAAAATCTCCCTTGTGCTGGGTTTTTCATTTAAAATGGGTGTTAATAGAGCAGAGTATGGTATTTTTTCCATTCAGTTGGGAAGAAAAGGAGTGAGTTCAATGGAATGTTCTTCCCACAGTGTGATCTTGAGGTTAATCTACTTCTCACTTGTCAACATTTGTAGTAAGAGTTTACTGAGTATATAGTGTTTTTCTGAGATTATAATATGTATATTGTATACACAATCTCTCCAATTTACCACTGTGTAAAACCCAATTTACAAATGAGGAAACCGAGGTGCAGAGAAGTTAGGTAACTTACTTCAAGTTACTCAATTAAAAAGTAGCAAAAATAGAATTCAAATCTAGATCTTGTGATGTCAAAACCCATGTTCCTTCTACTATTCTATACACAGAAACACAGTTGTGTTCAAAGAGGGTGGACTGGGGTGGGGTGGTATATGTCAGGTAAGGGAAGGTAGGTAACTTCTCCCAAGTGGCCTCAGAGGACAGCACTTAGTACCCTAGGGACTCTTACCATATAACAGTTGGTGCCTGGTTTATGGGCTCAGCAGACTTCTACCAGCTTAGTAAGAGCAAGTCCATCTGTGAGGGGTGCACTGCATAACAAGTTTATGATGCATAAAATCAGAATGCCAGTTTACTACTGATAGTACAAAACAGACCACAACCCTCAAAGTCTACATGACTCACCCTCTAGGTTAACCAACACAGAAAGTCATGTCATCCTCAGAATACTAATTGGCAAACATGGAATTGGGAAGAAAATTAGAAACACAGCTCTTTCAAGCTCTTCTTCTCCTCAGGTTAGGGTAACATCATGTATCCATTTTTCAATAGGATGGTCTTCCCAGTAGGAGTGAAGATAAGCCAAGGCCATGAAACTACCAATGAACTTTACCCACGCCACATTAAGACTGGCTTTGCCAATGGCTCAAGAATACTTGATACATAATCCACTCCTAATCGCTTCTTCTGTGACTCATTCTTAATTAGACATGGTTTGCATTTGTATCTATGACTTCTTTTTTTATGAATCCGTGACTGACCATCTCTACTTCCCATTCTGTTCTCTAAACAAGTCAGTACAATCAGTCAGGTTAAAGTCTAGTCTTACTGCCTGAGTAATATTTGATTTCTTCAAAGTAACTTTTTCTATCTCTGCTTCAGTATGTGTCAACTTGTTAAAGGTTATTCTTCAGCAGATGACAGTTTCCCGGTCCTTGGGGGTACCTCACAGAAGACAGCACCCCCTGAAAACACATACTGGTGTCAGTCTCCCTCACAGTAGCGTATGGAAGGAATATGTTAAGATAGTGTCGAGCCCACAAAACAGCCTGAGTAATGCGGTGTGGTTACTAGTGAGTCACCTTAGATTTGGAGCGCCCAGGCCTGCACTGAGCCCTCAGGCCCAAAGCTGAGAAGTACAGAGGCACTAAATACCTTACACTCTGTAAAGAGCAATACTGGAGCCAGTTTCATTCCTACAAAGGAATTTTGAATTGGTGAAAGGAAAACCTTTCTACAATCAACCACCACCTGCCCTACCTCCACAACATAAAAGAAAATTGAGTGGTGAGGGTAGGAAGAGAGGGAGGTCAAGAGACGTCAGCCCAGAGAGAAGTTTGGGATTCTAGGGAGAGGGCCACTTCTTGCCCTCAGGAGGAAGGGTGGTTATTTCTCCATTGCTCCCAGGTTAAATCAAACTTTGGGGTTATTGACAGGAAGAGAAGACTGACATTTCCCTCCTCGACTGACCACCAGATTGCTGAGCTGCACAGCCTAAAGTCCTGTCCCACTGCTGCCTTAGGAGCACTTTGGGGAGTGGAGGAAGAATTCTTGGAAAAAATTTACATATATCCCCCAGGGGAAGGGAGGGAGAACATTAAATGTAAAGATTAGTGCCTGCTTTGGTCTGTAGATTTTTTTTAAAGAAAATGTGTTGGAATAGTCGCTTGAGGTATTGCCTGCGAAGGAGACAGGAAACCCTGTCGTATGATGCCACGACACTAAGAGAGTATGAAAGAGAACCTCAGAGCTTCCCACGGCTGCATGTGAAGGCTCTCCTCGTACACAAGGGGTGAGGGCTGTGTGGTTGCTGCAGGAAGATCTTGCCATGGTTCTGCTCCACTACCCCCGTGGCTTTGTTTGGCTTTTGTCTTCAGGCTTATTTAGTCACATCACAAGATGGTTGCAACGGGTCTAATATTTATGTCTTCGCCTAACAATACTCAAAGGATAGAAGAGGGGAAGGGGCTTCCTTCCCTAAATCCCCTTGGAAGAGCAAAGACCACTTTTCTAAAAGCCTCTCTGGATCCTCTCATATTTCATTGGGCAGAATGGCATCACGTGCCCATTCCTAAATCAATCGTTATGGGGGAATACCATTATTATTATTATCTTCAGCCTTCTCTAAATTTTTAAAAATCTTTATTCATTTTTGACAGAATGCATGGGGTGGGGGGGAGGAGCAGAGAGAGAGGGAGACACAGAATCAGAAGCAGGCTCCAAGCTCTGAGCTGTCAGCACAGAGCCTGATGCGGGGCTCGAACCCACAAACTGTGAGATCATGACCTGAACCAAAGTCAGATGCTTAACCGACTGAGCCACCCAGGCACTCCAGCTTCAGCCTTCTCTGAAATAAGTTCTGGGTTCTATTTAAAAGGAATATGGGGGGGGTGGGGGCGCCTGGGTGGCTTAGTCGGTTAAGCGTCCGACTTTCGCTTAGGGCATGATCTCACGGTTCGTGGGTTCGAGCCCCGCATCGGGCTCTGTGCTGACTGCCAACTCGGAGCCTGGAGCCTATTTCAGAGTCTGTCACTCCCTCTCTCTCTGACCCTCCCCTGCTCATGCTGTCTCTCTCTCTCTCCTAGAAATGAATAAAAATATTTAAAAAATAAAATAAAATAAAAGGAATATGGGGCAAAAGACTAAAGGGTAGGCAGGACTTGGATCTGCCTGATGGAGGAGTCCCCAGCTGGGAGCTGTTCTACGTGAGCAGCCACCATCCGATGTGTGGGTGGAGGTGTCTGGGGGCTGCATGGAGGCTGAGTAATCCCAGGACTCTTCCTGCCAGACATGGGATTTTATGGCAAAATATTCCCTTCAAACCCAAATTGGTTGCCGGTTGATTTAATTTGGAGATTCCATTCACTGGTGTATTAGTCAATACTCTTTGGGTTGCAAAGAACAGAAACGAACAGAAACTAGCTTAATCGATGTGTTTGTATAATGAAAAATCCAGGAGGTTGGTTTTATTTCAAGGATAATTGGATTCAAGAGGTCAGTCGATGTCTTTACTACTATAGCACTCTCCGCCCATGGGGACTGATTTCCTTGGTGTTGGCATTTTTCTCAGAAAGGCACCTTTGCTCAAGAGTCCCGTCCCACAAGGCTAACAGTTTGAAACAAAACAAGCAACATCCTTGTGCCCACAGAGCTTTCTTTCTAGCAGGGTGGTCTAAGGAAAAACACACTGCTATATGCTTCCTCCATTCTCTCTATCACGACTTCACTTCTGACACCAGACATGTGGGTTCCCACACATTAAGCAGTTCTTCGACACCAGCTGGATGTCCTGCAATTTAACTCGATTCTGACGCTATCTACCTGGAGAAAGCATCCAATTTTACAGTTTAAAGGCCCAGTCTCACAAGACTGCCTCCCTCTCAAACCACTTCAGACACAGTCACAAGTCCTGGTTACTACCTGTGCTTCTCTCCCACCACTTATAAATCAGATTCCCATGGTACCCTCCCCTCTTAGGTTTAATTAATTTTCTAGAGCAACTCATAGCACTGAGGAAACCAGTTTACTTACTAGACAATAGTAATTACTGGCTTATTACAAAGGATTTTAAGGATGTAAACGAATAGCCAGATGAAGATAACATAGGGAAAGATCCAGAAATGTGTCAAGTACAAGAGCTTCTGTCCCCATGGAATTTGGAGTGTGTCGTCTTCCAAAGCATTGGGTAGGTTCTCGTTCACCAACCCAGAAGCCCTTCAAACTCTGTTCTTTTGGGGTTTTGTGGAGGCTTCATTTCTTAGGCATGGTTGATTGAATTCAATCTCCAGCCTCTCTCCCCTCCCGAGGGGTGGGGAATGGGGGGGACGGGTAGAGGGACTGAAAGTTCCAATACTCTAAACACAGGGTTGGTTCCCTGCAAACCAGCCAGCATCTTTAGGTGCTTTCCAAAAGTCACCTCATGAACATAAACTCAGGTGGGCTTGAAAGGGTTTGTTATGAATAATGACACCTTTATTGCTCTGACCACTTAGGATGTGCCAAGGGTTTTAGCAGCTCCATGCCAGAAATGGGACACTGACCAAAAATACATTTCTAATTATAAATCACAGTGTTAAACATGGAGAGGAGCCAGTGAAATAGGTAAGCAAATCTATAAATAAGTTAATAAATAAGCTGAAATGTTTCCAGAGAGAATACTAAGAAAACAAAGCAGGAGGGTAAGATAGAACATGATTGGCTGAGAGGTGGATGGTGATACATGAAGGGTTAGGAAAACAGTCATTTCTTGTGAAAGTTGAGCTGAGAAATGAATGATTAGAAGGAGCCAGTCCTAGGAAGCTCTGGATGTTGCAAGAAGAACAGCAAGTACAAAGGTTCTGAGATAGAAATAAATTACCCCTGTCTGATGAACGGACAAAAAGACAAGCGTGACTGAGCTGAATTTAAAGAACTAATAGGCATTAGCCAGACTTGGAGATGGGGCGGGGTGAGGGGGGAGACAGGGGGAATGATCGTAAGATTTTAGGTAAAGAGAACAGTAGCAGTGTGGGAATCATAACTTTAACCAGAAGTACACTCACATCAACCAAGTTTATGATGCTTACTATGATATATTCAGAATGCCAGTTTCCAATATGGTTGCCTGGAAAAAAAAGTGCAGGCAAATAAAATATGTAATCAAGAATAAGGAATGCCAATTCACAAATATATTTAAAAATATATTTTTGAAACTCTCTTTGACGCAGGCAGGTATGTCCGGCCTTGGAATGATGAGTTGATGTGGGAAAAGGAGCAGCGAGCTCCATCTCACGACTTGCATCCAAGCAGAGGAAATGCCATCATGCAAAAGTTGTTTTAAAATAGTAACTGTTTATATTCCAGCATAACCTTACTCTCAAGATGAGAGTCCTGAATTGTAGCAAGTGTTAAAGAATAATTAAGGGGCAATCTGCCCAGAACACTTATTAACATCGTTACTGATGCTGAATACTTAAGAAAAAGACAGGAAGAAGTAAAACAAGTTTCGTTGCCATTTTAAAATATTGGCTTGAGGCTCCATTTCTGAACTGAGAAGACAATGTTAAATCACTGTACCCACATACTGAATGCTTCGAGTTTAAAAAGTAGTGAACACGTGTGATAAAGTGAACGTGAGAACTTCAATATTTCTTGTCTTAGGTATTTTCTTACTTGATTCTCCTCCTTGGAACCAAGATTTATTGTTGTGCTAACTTTTTGTTTTGTGGACTTTAATACTTGATAAGTTGAACTTTGTATTTGATCTGTCTGGTGATAATAAAACCACTGTAAGACTACAAAATGGTGGAGTTAAGTATGATTTGTCTTTTTTTTTAATGATAGTTTTTTTTTTAATGTTTATTTATTTTTGAGAGAGAGAGAGACAACAGAGTGTGAGCGGGGGAGGGTCAGAGAGAAAAGGAGACACAGAATCCAAAACAGGCTCCATGTTCTGAGCTGTCAGCACAGAGCCCAACACGGGGCTTGAATCCATGAACTGTGAGATCATGACCTGAGCTGAAGTCGGCCGCTTAACTGACTGAGCCACCCAGGTGCCCCAAGAGTTTATTTCTTTAATGCTTTATTTATTTTTGAGAGAGAGAGAGAGCACAAGAGAGATAGAACATGAGTGGGGGATGGGCAGAGAGAGAGGGAGACACAGAATGTGACGCAGGCTCCAGGCTCTGAGCTGTCAGCACACAGCCTGACGCGGGGCTTGAACTCACAAACTGCGAGATCATGACCTG